GAGTTTGGATGAGAATGTTGAAAAAAAGTCACAGGGCCTAAGTTACAGGGGAAAAAAAAAAGGCAAAATCTAAATAGGAGACTAAGATGCAACATAGTAAAACTTTTCTTATGAAAAGATTTGTCATATAAATGGAATTGTTTGCCATGCCCAGTGGAAGATGAGCAAGAAATCAAACTTAATAGCCAACAACCAAGAGTTTGGCTGGATACAAGAAGAGGCTTTTGAACAGAATGCCAAGGGTACTGTAGCATGTCCTTCACTCTGTGCTTTTATTAGAAGTTTAGACATTATCTGGAAATGGTCTAGATGCATTTGACTAAGCAATATTTTAAGAAGTAACAAGTTTTAGTTACAGAGTTATTTACTGAAGCAGTGGCTAGGCAAAATGAAGATGCTTTACCTGATGTGACTGCAACCTGGACTTTTGCTAAATCTCTCTCCTTCTTTGCTTGTCCCAAGTCTACCTCCAGAGCTTGCTTATCTTGCTTGAGACGCTTTATCTCTTCTTCTAGTTTAGTTTCTTTCTTCTGAGTTTCACAGAAAATGATAAGACAAAAAAAACTTAACACACCTTGTCATACAAAAAAGCTGACCATGCTTTTTCACCATAAAATGATTGTGTCAGACCACAGCAGCAATGAGGTTTTCTAGTTTTGATATTGTTCTCAGGCTCTTGTTCTAGAGTTCATCTGATGAGACATTTCTGATACACCAGCACAGCAAATCATAGCATGCTCCAGTACTTTCTTAATTTACATTATTAGTCTACAACATGGATGGTTATGTGTTTTTGGTATGAACACATGAAAACCAGGCTTGGCATATACCCACCTGTGCTGCTCGAAGCTCTGAGATCAACTCTGTGAAACTCTGATTTCTGGCTTGCTCAGAATCCTGCACAATCTGCAACTGGGTGCTGTTAGTCTTCTCTATCTTTTCCCTAAATGGTAACAGCAAAAACATTTGTGCAATGCAGTGACTTGGTGTACTAACAGTGGCACACTACAAACCAAACACAATCTCCCCAAAAATGGTATTATGAACTCAATCTGTTCAGGCTTAAGACAAAGAAAGAAGCAACTATGCAGTATAACTTTAAGCACAAAAATTTCACCTGTAGGGTGAAATCTGCTCACCTTGCACTGGTTGGTTGGTAGGATTACAGAAGGGAGTGAAACAAAACCTGCTCTGCCTCAGTGCAACTCCTCTATGGCAAAGATTTGTAAATGAGGAATACCCACAGCTGCTGGTTTTTTTCCTTGTTGCTGGCATAGGATGTAAATCTTAGAGGACCTACAGTGCAGTGAATCTAATGGTTCCTCCACTACCAGGATCTCTTGTGGCCCCTGATCTCCTCTGTATCTTACAGTGTATCAAAACTTTTTGACAGGTAACACTGGAACAAGTGCAGCATATGGACTACATTCTGATGTGAATATTTGAATTTTAGCATTGAGAAAGTCCCCAAATGGAAGACTGTAGTCTTCCACAGGTCTGCAAGATTAGCAAGAAGACTAAGAATTAAAGGCCCATAATCAACCTAAGTCAATTCCGAAAAGAAAAAATAAAACCACAAACTCCAAGACACTGAAAAACAGCCATCTGATAGACTCTGCAGTGATTATTTGCAAATAAAAATAATAAACACAGCTGAAACCTCCAGAGATTTTAGGTTGAATGTTTAAGTAAGCCTACCTTATGGCTTTTAATTCAGACACTAAACACTGATTCTCCTTAAACATACGTTCCTCATTTTTTTTGTTTTGGATCTGTAGCTCTTTTGTTTGTTTGTATAACCTCTCATTTTCCTAAGATGAGACAGACAAAGTTAAGATAATGTTAATAAATCACTGTTTTATCAGTTTAAAAACATTTGTCTATGACTTGTATAACTTGCCTACTGAAACAATGGAAGAAAACACTAAATATTTTATTACTGCATTTCTAAAATGGATGTTTAGTTTCCTTATCTTTATGTTAATGTAGTATACAGTGACCTCTACAACCTTGTCTAAGTGCTCACTCTGGAGAACCCAGAGCAGTTCCTCTGCAAAGCTATCCCACCTATATTCTAAAAGCACATATATGAATGGGTGCTGACAGATCAGGGCTCAGCCTGCCCAAGCTCCAATCCTGTGGACACAAAACATCACTGATTCAGGATGCTCACAGCCATACTGGCCAGACATTGTGCCTACACCAAGAAATGCTGCTGAGCAGCAGCTGGAAGCTGGTTGAACTAATCTATTTGACTTTACAGCTGCAAGTGTTCAAAGTGATTAAGTTTGCATTATCTGTTACTACACTGAGGAATAAAAATCAGGCAAACTAATATCTACCTACAGGAAAGCTGGGGAGGGACTTTTTACAAGGGCTTGTAGTGAGAGGACAAGGGATAATGACTTAAAACTGGAAGGGAGGAGATTTAGGTTAGACATCAGGAAGAAATCCTTCACTGTGAGGGTGGTAAGATACTGGAACAGGTTGCCAAGGGAAGCTGTGGATTCCTCGTCTCTGGAAGTGTTCAAGGCCAGGTTGGATGGGGCTCTGAGCAGCCTGATCTAGTGGGAGGTGTCCCTGTCCAGCCAGGGAGGTTGAAACTAGATGATCTTTAAGGTCCCTTCCAACCCAAACCATTCTATCATTCCAATAACGTTTCCTTGAAATCAGCTGCTTTGGTCCTTTGAAAAACATCCTTAAAACAGAACCCTCCAGATTTCTAATATTGCTTAAAAAGACTACTTTTCTACTATATTTGAAACACAAAGTTTGTGGTTCGTTATCGGCCATAAGGCATCTTCCCAGTTCTCAACTGACAAGTCAGAATATTTTTAACAATGTAGAACACTTACATGGAATCAGGGAAAAACTTAGCCCACACTAGACCATGTGTGAAATACTTTTAAAACGTGCAAAATGTGCTCTTCATACCTAAACTTAATCCACTTTTTAGATAGCAAGACAAGAGTTTTCAGTAGAAAAGTAATAACCTTTAAGCAATTTTGTTCTTGAAAGTGGCTTGAGCACAGCTTAATATGCTGTGTGATGTACCTGTTGATAACCTTGAATGATGACCTCTTGATCTTCAATTTCTTTTTGTATCTGTGCCAGTTTTTCTTCAGTTACAGGAATTGCTTCTGTATGATGGGTCCATTGCTTTTCTTTAGTCAGCTCTTCCATACTTCTTAACTTTCAGAAAGAAAAAGACACACAACTAATAAGAAAATTCTGTTGGCAATATGGAATTCTCTGCAAGACTACACTTTTATAATATAGATAGGTCAATCTTTCCATTCAGATATGAAAGCAGACCTCTGAGCTAACCATGCTGGAGTTTAACAGAAACACTACAAAACAGGAACGAAGTATAAAAAGTTTGGGAAAGTTAAGAAGATTTAACCCTCACTCTTCCATTTTTATGCATCTAGACAAGAGGCTGTAAGTGGAATAACACTGGGAATATGCCATATAGTGGTATCTGTTAATTTCTTGGGTTTTTTATTTATTTATTTTGACATAAGAGGGAGTTAAATCTTTGCAAAAAGCCTGCTGTAGAACTCTCAAAATAGCAAACTAAAAGAACTTGGGATAACAATAACTTATCTCTGTTGAAAAATGATAAAGAAGGTGTCTTACGGGCAGCACTTGTAAGAGTGCATAAGCATTTACAAACTAGCAGTGTGTGTGTGTGTAAATCTGGATTTTCTGCTCTTTAACAACTCCTGCAGGACAAAAGTAATTTAATTTTCAGAAGCAATGTTTCTCCTGTTCCATAGCAGTGGGATAAGAGGTGGTGAAATACCTTACTCTGAAGAACATAGCTTTCCTGACCCAACCGAGAAAGCTCTTTTTCATGCTGTTTTTTCAGTTCTACTATCTTTGTCTCCATTTCTTTCTCTGTTTCTGAAACTCTGCTGCTCAGCTGTTGGACCAAATCACGAGCTGCACTCAGATCTTCCTCTGCAACCTGCAGTCGTTTTAGCAAATATAGTTCTCTGTCACAACTTTTGATAGGAGAAAACGATAAATCCTAATGAAAACACAAGGAAACATTCCATTGAGCTGATTGTTCACCAAAAATTCCACTCTTAAGTTTTACTTAACTGGCTTGTCTGCCTCTTGGCAATCACATAAAGCACTGGAAAACAAATCAAAACAACCCCCAAAATACTAACAACAAAACATCCTGCATTTACTTTAATGAGCTACTTTCTCATTTCCAGAATATGTATGAGGAAAACAAGCAATTTTTCTTGTTTTTAATAAGAGACAAACACCTCTCATATGAAAGCCACTACAGAGCTAACAGAATTACTCTGTTATGCATCCGGTATTCAGTGAGTAATTCAGTGAGTATGCATCTGGTATTCAATGAGTAATTTTTTATACAGTTTATAAGGAAGAAGGAAAATCCATCATGGTACTGCAAATCCAGTCAACTGGAGAAGTCAGAAGGTACTACTACTCAATGCAATGCAAATATGAAAAAATCACCAGAGAGCAGTCCTATTTAGCATTCACAACGGAATGCTTTCACTTCAAAGTTTTATTTAAAATTTTTCCCTTTTTTACCACAAAATAGTAATTTTTAGAAATTATTAAGCATTCCAACTTTAAGTATATAGAAACACCTGAGTCATAGAATTATCCAAGCAACTGAAAAGCAGTATGATTATACTTGTGTATTTTTAAAAGCAAAACCTAGTATTTGTCTTTATTCAATATTTCAGCATTTGTCAATCTTGTGATAATTATTAAAAGTCTTGACCAAACAGGCTTGCAAACCAAGTTGTACCTACTATAAGTAGGAGCATCACTGGTTATTACTTACATGCTGATACTGCCTGCAATAATCCACAGCCTGGTATCCCAGATTGTTAACAACTGATTGGCCAGACATAACTCTGTTAGTATTTGCCTTCAAAGTTGGTCCATTTGTTGCAGATCTTGTTATCCTAGTAGCAAATAAGGCTTCTTCATTTAAGCAGACAGTAAAATAGAACAAAATTAAGTTCAGAATTTAATGTAATTTCAAAAAATCTATTCATGCAATCTACCCCTTAGGCACTTAAATAAAAATTCAGGTTGTAGAACAGTTAAATTAAATGTAGAAACTTGACAATAATGAGACATTATGTAAATTGTTGTAGTTTTCCAAATAAGAAAATGATGACAAAACAAAACCCCAGTGAACAACTGAAATAAGTAGCTAGATAATAAATCCTTTATGCAAAAGGTTGTCTGCTCAAGAAATGGACAGTTATCTAAGTATAAAGAAACAGTATATTTCAAGCTATGGTGAAGATAGGACAGACACAGTTTTCAAAATGGACTTGGGAGTGCAGACAGCATACAAAGACAAGCAAGGTCCCCTTGTTGCGTCAAATAGCAACTTGACTGGAAATTAAAAATCAGGTAAGTGTCCCCTAGAGAGTAACTAACATGGAACTACTCACACCTTAGTCTTCTGAAATACAGATATTAACTACAACTGCCAATTCATGTCTGCCTATAGCAATGGAAGCTAGGAGCTCCTGCTTAGGAATGCTAAACCTGAAAAGAAACAGGCAATGACCACTTCCCAAAGGTAATACTTTTTACATTTCTCACATTATCCCCTCACAAAGGTGCTCCCTTAGCACTAGTAATTAGGGGATTGTTTGATCCAATGCCATTCTCTTTCTAGCTATTGAGGCCCCTACAGCATGCATTCTCCTGAGTTAGCTTCTGGAGTCACCTGAAACTGCTGTGAAGAATGGTTATGGCTAGAGAGGAAAAAACATGTTTGAATGAGGCTAGTGGCCTCATTTTCTCTGCTGTCATCTTTCACTTCTCCACCTCAAATCTGGCTGTACAACTTCCTCCAGGGAGTGCCACAGGACTGCATTGAGAAAAGCACCTTAGTTTGACAGCTGCCACTGAAGCATCTCTCTAAAACAGGCAACACAATCCTAATCTGCTTTTTCCAATACTACGTGCAGAGGTTTTAAAAGCATTATGTGCTAGAACTGTGCTAAAACCTGGGCATCTGTAGAGATGCCACAGAGATGACAAACATCATCTGCAAAAACATTAAGATGGATCATCTCATGAAACTCTTTAGGCTTCACCACAAAATAAAAAAAGTACAGCCCTTTACTTGCAACACAGCTTTCACAGGACTACATTGGTACTTGCCTTTCCTCAGTGTCATGAGAGATGTGAACAGAGAAACAGCACTTTCTTTTTAGTGCTTTCTTTGCCCTCTAGGAAAGCAAAGATAAAAAGAAGCTGAGAAGAGAAATTCAGCGTCACACACAGAAGTTAGTGTGTCAGCAAACTTAACTTGCAGATGCTTATTTCTGAACACCAGCTTTTCCAATTGTTTAAGTCCTGCTGGTGAACATCAGGTAAGTCTCATAGATAGTGGTGGTGAGCAGAAATGAAATGAGGCTACAGTGCAAAGCTTTATTTAAAACTCTGTCTTCCAGCACCTTCATGCTGATCACAGCATCATTACATGATGATTTTTAATGTGAGAAGTGAACAGCAAAGCTCTCTGGCTCTTACAACTCAACCTTATTAAAATAAAATTACCTTTAGGTCTTGCTCTGTCTGCAGGACTTCTGGCTTTCACAGGGGTCTTTTTGAAAGTTTCTTTTTGTGTTTTCTTTTCACTAGCTGGAAAAGACTGTTTTGTGAGTGAAGTGGGTTTCCCATATCCAGAACTTTTAACTGCCCCATAAGGACTATATAAAGATTTCTTTTTATGCAAAGATGCTGGGCTTCTGATATTCTTGTGTAACACTGGTTTAGTGGTCATTGATTCTGATCTTCCATTTTTCAAGGAACAAGAGTGAAAAACCTGTAATAGAGCACATTTGTATTTGTTCAAACCAAGTTTTAGACTCTAGTGTAATTTGAAGTTAGCTTCCACTACAAGAACATATAACCAGTTACCAGAATTACACAGATGTAAGACTTGGGGCAGTGGGAAGTATTATTTTTAACCAAATTAAGTACTTTTGCAGAATTTTAGTACTTCAGAAGTATAAATAACTGTATTTTGTACTGGCTCCTTTTAACTGTTCTGGGAAGTTGTATTGCATTACATGATCTTTAGCTTACCAAGGCATGTAGCTCATGACTAAAGGCTAAGCACAGTCAACACAAAACCAGTGGTGGGGAGAAGAACAGTGGCAGGCAGAGGAAGTCTACTAAACTTGATCACCAAAACCAGAACACAGAACTCCTAATACCAACAAATGAAATAAGCTCAGCCCTGGTGGGAATTCCACCAGGCCAAATCAGCCTCCATCTCTCCCTGCAACTCCTTGCAGACAGAAGTGGTGACCTCAAAAAGGAGTGTGGGGCTAATGTAGGGGGTGCAGGGAGAAGAGGAATTGGGGTTGCAGGCAGAAGATCTGGGATTGTGTTAATCTTGTCATGGTATGTTTGAGAGGATTGTGAGAACATGCAAGAATTACAGGATGTTTAGGGACAGGACAAAAAAACAGGTAAAAAGGACAAATTAAGGTGGATCAAGCAGGAACAAGTGTGGGAAATGGAGGAAAATGAGATTAAAGAAGCTGGTGACAAGACCAGGTTGCAGGTCACTACACTTGTCTAAGCCCTACACTGATCATTGCAGTCTCTCCTACACTTATTGAACTGTATTTCTACCTGTGTTCTCTATAGGTATGCTCTCTATTCTGAGTCTGAGTGTGTTCATCCATGTCCCCCCAGTGGGAACACATGCCCAGGCTCACTGCTAGCTCAAGCTGGGGACATGGAACCACAACAGCCTTCATGTATTAGCCTGGGACAGGAAGAATCCCATTGGTCCCAAAGTCCATGGATTTGGCTACCTCTAACAATGGCAATTGTAACAAGAATTTCAGGAAAAACAGCAATAGACTCTCAATTTCTAAACTCAGAGCACAATCAAATGACAGGCAGTATAAAAAGATACACATTTTAAATGTATTTCCATATAATAAAAGAATGATTGATATTACTTACTCGTTCAGTCTTGCTGCCTTCTGAAGGCTGAGAGTCTTGTACTATTTCTTCTCTTAGTATGTCAGGTTGTACTTGACTGGTCTGAATTTCTTTCTCAATTATTCTCTGTAAGTTATCATCATTCATAGCTGTCTGAAAGATGCTCTTTTCTCTGTTCAAGTTTTCAAGCAAGTCTGTCTCCCAGACTGTACTCCTCTGGCCCTCTTCAAGGGGCAAGTAGCTGACAAGGTCAGTAGCAGTGCTGTCCACCAGTTTCTCAGGACTACAAGAGAAAGAAATACAGTCAAATATAACAAGACTTTTTGCCCTTGACCTTTCTATCACTCTGGAAAAAGGGGGCCACTTTCCCTTTAGGTATCAGCTGTAAAGACTGCTGCAACTTGAAAGAGCCACTAGGCTTCTTTCAGGAAGGACCTTGCAGATTTAGTTATCCAGATTCACTCCCACACTGTGGAACAAGAGACATTTCCCAGTAGTGAGTATTTTGTGGAGGTACCAAATCTGGCTACAAGACAAACACCTGCAAGCATGCAATTAATGCTAATAAAACAACAGATTGTGATTTCAGCTGGGTGCAGCTACATAATAAGTTCCCAAAACTGATTTGCTAAACATAACCTATTTCTGACAGTTCCAGTGCCAGTGACTTCTGCTCTAGATGCAACAGTTGGAGCAAACCAGGAGGAGGTATGGAGCATGGGTTACCAAGAATCACTAGATTAAGCAGAATAAGAGGACTTGATCTTAGATTATGGAGATATGAGAAATAGGACAGAATGTGCGCTGAAATCCATGTATGGGGGTAGGGA